CCGCCCTGGAGACCCACCGTGACCGACCAAGTCGCATCCTCAGGAACAAGACCTTGGAGAATTCAAATCTGTGGCCAGGTTCCCCAGAGCAGGCTACTCCTCTTCATCCATCTCAGGGCTTAAACATGATGGTGGTCCCTCCGTACCGGCAGGCGGGAGCGGAGCTGAAGCTTCCCTTTTTTTTTGGAGCTTAATGAGTTGGTTGCCTGATGGCCCCCAGAAGCAAGGCTTGTACGGAGCTTCCTGGCACCTTTACAGCTCAGTAAGAAAATGTTTCAGTATTTCGAAAGGGTAACGAGTGTTTTCATAGATGTTGGTAAAGCATATTTTCTGTCATTTATGCTGGCTTGAAAAAAAAATCCCAAAACCCAGCATTTCTCTGAACTAGTCTCTGGAGAGTACTTTTGACACTAAAAATGCAGAGGAGGCGAAATCACATGAGCAGGCAAATGTAAACTCAGGAGATATTAAGGGTTGTGTTTTTTTCCCTCCATACATGTTATCTATTTCTTTTGTCAGATGTGAAATTTTGTGCAATGTTTGAGAGGATTCCTGCAGTAAAAATTCTGTGTAAATGAGGTTCACCCAGGGGTAAGCAGGGCATATCTCAGATTCTTATGCCTCCTGCATAACAACATCATTAGAAAGAAAGAAAAAAAAAGACAAAAAATGGCAACAAAACTCCAACCCTTAATCTTCCAAGGAATGCAGTATTGGAAGCTTCTAAAAGGAACTCATTAAATCAATGCTAAGCTACTCATCAACCCAGTAATGAGGTATGAGCTTTGTTATAACAACACTTGTTGAGTTTGAAAGGGCTCAGCTCCAACTTGCATCTGGCTCACTGGACATCACAGAGTTGTTCAGTAGAACAGGGCATCCTGCGATAGTGCTGGTTGTGATGGCAATTATTCACCAGTGACTTTGAGTTTCCATGGCCTCATCCTGAATTTCTACCTTTGCAGCCGCAGGGGCCGGCTAGCAACTTTGGGATAAGTTGTTTCACCTTGAGGCAAACAAAGGGACGAGCCAGGCTCAGAGAACTGCGTGCCACCTCCCAGGGGAACCTGTGCTTTGCAGATAAGTGCTTGAAAGCACTCGGCAAGAGGAGTGCTGAATTAAGCTAAGTAGATTTGTGTGTCAGCAGGTCCAGAGGGCCACAGCGGGGAGGGCAAAGAGACGAAGCAGCCATCGAAGGAGAGTTTGCTGGCTTCTCAGCAGTTGTTGAACTAAAGGAAGCACCAACAGGAGGACTATACCTGAGGCTGGCACCTCCCAGAGGAAGGGCTGAGGTCTATATGTGCAAGGCCAGTGCTGTGAACATCCAGGAGTCCAACAGACTTCTGTGGGAGGCTGGGAGCAGAGAGGAGTCCAGCTCAGTGCTGCTGTGCATCACTCCTGCACCACACTGGGGAAGCCCAGACCTCACCTCCTGCCCTTTCCCCTCATCCCCATCCTGACCGTGCCTGCAAAGGCTCCCAGTCTTTTGTCACAGTTTGATAAACTGACATTTCAAAGGCATGGGCAGGCAAAAAATGGTTTTCACCAAAGCTGACTGCAGCAACAGGTTCTCCTTCAGTGGGCAGAGTTGGCTGAGCATCAACCCATGCTCATGGGGCAGCAAGGGCTCTGCTTTGGGGGGAACATGAGATGACCCTTCCCCAGCCCAGCAGACACTAACCAGGGTAGCCCTCACAGGCACCTGAGTTCCAAAAGGGTGATTTTTTGTCCACCGGTGGAAGGCTTCAGGCTCCGAGTAGCTGTGTCCTGGCCAAGGAGCAAGGTATGAAGGTCTTCCATGCCAGGCTGGTGGAGGTAGAGCCAAACACAAAGCAGTAGGTGGAGGAATGGCCGTGTTGGGGCTGCAGGAGAGGGAGGATCAAAGGCTTTGCAGTGTTAAAGCCACACACCAAGCCAAGGCTCTAAGCAAACCAGCTTCAAAGAGGTCACTTTTTCTTGGAGCTGATTGAAAAATGAAATTACAGCTCAGTATGTTTCCTATCCAGCACCTACGTAAAGGGGATGCACACCTGGGGTAAACAAGCTCTGGTTGGTTTGTTTATCTTTAGAGCATTCTCTCACCTGGAGGCACACAGCTGTTCATTACCTGATTGCCTGGACATGCACCTCCCTCTGCGCTTCACACACATACCCGGGGCTTTACGCTCCCATGAAACACATCCGTGTCCCACTCCAGACGGGTAAAGGGGAGATGGGAGGATGGGAGGGAAGCTGTGGCCGTGTTTCATATAGATGATCTCGCAGTCCCACCGTGGATGGGGATTTCTCATAATTCCCGGAGTGCCACTAAATGGGATCACGCACCCTAACCCCCAACCTGCCAATGGAGAAGTGAGGTTTGCTCTGCCAAGCTTAAGCTGGATCTGGAGTCTTATTTTCCTTCATAACATTATTAACCCTTTGGCTGCACTTTTAAGAAAAATTCCTGTTGAGCCTGTTCTGAATTAAAAATCCACCAGCAAGAAAATGTTCCCCAGCTCGTGCCCTTTTTTTTTTCCATGAAGAAGCTACAGGGGAACATTTTTTTTTGACCTTTGAGATTTAAATGGTAGCAAGAGCTGAACCAGTCAGTGGCCTTATTCCCAGGTGGGTAGCTATATGGCTCTCATTTTCAAATGTCACAGGGCAGTGGCTTTGCTTACAAAGTTTTAAGGAGTTCCTCTGAGAAAAATGCTTATTTGAGAGGATTTCTGTTTCCAGTGTCTTAATCAACATCATATTTGTAACCAGAATGGAAAGTCAGAGGGATACAGAGCCTGAACTAACTGGAAAAAAGAAAAGGACCACCTCGTTTGCCAAGGATTCTGTGAAATCACGCAGGGTGGTATTTTATTCCTCTTCACAAAGCAAGTAAAGAATTTTGGAGTCATTTTTCTGGTTTACTGAGTCATTCTGGATACTAAACAGATGAATGAGCTTTTTTTTTTTTTTTCTCAAATAAATGTATTGAGTTCATCCTTTCTGAGAGTCTACTCTACTGACCTGTGGAGAAGGACACTGAGCCATCCACAGCCTTTGTTCCTCTTGCCTCAAGGTCCACAAGGAACAGAGCAACCCTAAGACTGCCTTTTAGTGCTGTGGTTATTGCATTGAAACGTCAGCGCACAGGAATCGTTTCTGTCATGTGAGCTTTTCTTTTTAATTAGAGCAACAGCAACTGTGGTATAAATGCCCTGACTCCAGCAAACCCAACAGATTTTTCCAAAGCTCACCGCACTATTTTTAACACGCCATACTGGATTTGGATTAAAAAAAAAGCACAGCAGAAAAATAATGGCGTGATGATCAGTTCAAGGCGATTAGATATTTTTGCGTCCCAGTGATGCTCTCGGCGCTGCAGGGCAAGCGTCCTCTGTGGTGCCCATCCCTTGCCCATTTGGACTGAGGATTTAGGGCAACCCTCTTTCAGCTGCCGACCATCAGAGGGGTGCGCAGAGCGGGTGCTCATGGGCAGCCAGGACATGGACAACTCCAAGGGCCACTCTTCCTGGCCGATGTTCTCAAGTTCTTTCCATGCATGGACATGCTTATGTCAAAACCCACTTCAGCACGGTGAGGCATAAGTATGCTTTAGTGGGGTCAAGGCCATTTTCTAAGTGGTGGCAGGTCTCTGTGCGTGAGGGAAGGTGCAAGGTAGCACAGCTTGGGTCTGGCCAGTGGTATTGGCTAACCTTGAGTCTCCAATTTTAGCTGGCCCTGGTGAATTCAAAGCAGCTGCTAGATAGTCCTGTTGTAAAGCAACAAGAAATGAACAGCAGGGTCCTAAAACTCCATCACACTACAGCACAAAAATATTTTAAAGAGTAAAAATGGCTTAAAACCATGCTATTAAAAAAGCAAAAGTAAATGTCATACCTTAGGCTTCTCTCTCTCCTATTCCCCTTTCTCTGTCCTCCCCAGCGAGGGTTCCTCAGAA